AGTCGGTTCCTGACCAGCCGGGCTGTGGCTCGTACGTTGGTTTGCGTGCAGCCAGCAGTAACAGCCTGGTTGATCAGGCTCTGATCCACCAGGAGGCCTGGTCACAGACCGGGCCGCGGGGGCGTTGACCCCCGGAACTCTCTCCAGGTAAACTCCAGGTAGGTAAAAATCTAGCGAACAAAATACCAAGCACAAACGCCCGTCCATCAGACTACCTCACAGGTACCTACCCAAATACACTATTCCTAGCTCCAACCAACCCCACTGAAGTTATGCTCATCATATACACCCTTAAAAACAAGGCAGGAGACATAAACAACTTGCCTGCTTTTATGTACAAAAAAACTTCTCAAGTATTGTCACTAATTATTGCAACGCTCTTTAACAAATCCATTGAATCATCTACCTTCCCAACTAGTAAGTAAGTAAGTAAGTTTATTCAGGTATACACAAATACAGTTACATAGAATTATCATACATAGCAGCATGTGTGTAGAGAACCTGGGATAACCCAAAAAAGTCAGACAGGGTGACTTATTTCCATTGGGGTCCAACAATCCTCAAAATAGCGAGGGTCACTCCGATCCATAAAGGAGGTGACCAAGCTGACTTGAATAACTATAGACCAATATCTAACTTACCACTGCTCTCTAAAATCTTTGAAAAATTAATTCATAGACGGATCTATTCCTACCTCGTTTCACACAACCTATTAAACCCTTGTCAGTTTGGATTCAGGAATAATAAAAGCACAAATGATGCTATTGTGGAAAATTGCATTTACTTGGATGTATCATTATATACATAACAGTAAATGAACATAGATAATTATTATTTATCAGTTAGACAAGTAGGAATTTGGGACACCTAGGTCGTAAAAAATGTCCCCCTTCGATACCTACCACTGTCATATCCACAAGTTGCTCTGGACCTATTAATTAAATGAAATATACATCACCAGGAATGCTGGTAAATATATAAATTTGTGGACTGTATATTAAAATTAAAAAAGGATTATAGTATATACACACATTTATATAACAGAAGGAGAATATATCTTAATCATAACACTCACCAGTTTGACTGGAGATTAAGTTGTATCATACTCAGAAAACCTCACTGTCTATACATGAAAATAACACTGGCCAGATTTATAACATAACAGATTTATCTGAGGTTCCTGGAGCTGTCTTGTCCAGTCGCCTGATATTTCAAGTTATGCAGGAATGCACATTCAACAATTTCGTCTCCTATTTGAGAGGTGTCAACACAATTTTAACCTCTAGAGCACGAAAAATTCTTCCCATTACACTAACGTTTACTTGGCTCATTCAAACCAAAATGACGATTGTCCATCTTTTTAAAAATACACTTGTATTAATACAATATAGGGCATCTATTTACCTATAAATTACCGTATTTCCGGAAAATATACAGTATTTTCCACAGCTATCATACACATGCTATTTGCAGATGACACTACATACGTCTTCTCTCACCCGAGCCCAGTCACGCTAGCCAATACTGTAAATACCGAATTACAGAAAATATCTACCTGGATGAGGACTAACAAACTTACACTAAACATTGACAAAACCTACTTCATTCAGTTTGGTAACAGAGCTACTGATGTCCCTCTTAACATAATGATAAACGGATCACCTATCACCGGATCACTTATCTGTTTACAATAATGTTTTATCACTGATTATATCATTGCTTAGTTAATCTTAAGTTAATTTTAAGCCAGCCCGTAATGCTATGCATACAAGTGGCTTTGGCATGCTGCTCTTACCTGTATTTTTTTGTACCTCTGTATGTTCAAATTATTAAATAAATAAATAAATAAATAAATAAATAAAGCTAACAGAGGGAAAATTCTTAGGAATCCACCTTGATAATAGACTCAAATTTCATACACTTATACAACAAATTTCTAAGAAAATTTCCAAGACCGTAGGCATACTATCGAAGATACGGTACTATATTCCACAGTCAGCCCTCCTGGCCCTATATCACTCACTTATTTACCCCTATCTCACCTATGGAATTTGTGCATGGGGCTCAACAACAATTAACCATCTCAGACCACTAATTACCCAACAAAAGGCTGCAGTTAGAATAACAAATTCCCACTACAGGCAACACTCTCCACTAATATTCAAAACTAAACCTACTCACCATACAAAACATCCGTACTTATTACTGCACCTACTACATACATAGAACACTTAACTCTGATATAAACCCTCCCCTCAAACATCTTACCAACCTCAACAGAACACATGACCATAACACAAGACACAGATCACTCTTTGATATTCCTCGTGTCCATCTCACACTATGCAAAAACTCAATGCACATAAAAGGCCCTAAAATCTGGAATTCATTACCTGTGAATATAAAAGAAACACTACCTGTTTATAAATTCAAGTCTCTTTTCAAAGATCACTTACTCAGTTTAGTTAGTTTAATATGTTTATTATGCACCCCATACCCATCCTGTGGGCGGTAGTCAAAAGATTACAGAGGTACATAATTGGTCCAGGGACTGGACTCCAAAGTTTTGATAGCTGAGCAAGTTACAGAGGTAATTAACTCACAATTTACAAAGGTAATGAACTCACAATTTACAAAGGTAATGAACTCACAATTTACAAAGGTAATGAACTCCAGGTAAGTCTGGTCACAATCATGACAAGTTACAAAGGTATTTACAGATTACAGAGGTACGTAATGGGTCCAGGGACTGGGCCCCCAAAGTTTTGATAGCTGAACTAGGTACAAAGGTAATGAGCTCACAAGTTACAAAGGTAATGAATTCTGTAGAATGGTTACTTACGTTTATACTTTGGCTACAATCATGAACAAATTATAGAGTAATGAGCAATTCACACTTCCACACCCGGTCACAACTGTAATGAGTTATTGGTGCAAATATTGATTGTTGAGTCACACACACCACACACACACACACACACACAAACACACACACACACACACACACACACACACACTTTAGTTTAATATCTTTATGCACCCCATACCCATCCTGTGGGCGGTAGTCAAAAGATTACAAAGGTACATAATGGGTCCAGTGACTGGACTCACCCACAACTAAATAAATACTGAATAACTGAACCTTATAAATTGTATATCTTAAATGTTTCTCACAATTATATCACATAAATGTTAAACCTAAGACCCAATCTAACTTAGTTATTATTTAAATACAATACCTAACAGAATATTCCATTCTACTGAATGTACACAAATGCATGCAACCATATGACCTGTCTTTGAAATACTCATTTGTATTTTATAGTTATCTGTTTACAATAATGTTTTATCACTGATTACATCATTGCTTAGTTAATCTTAAGTTAATTTTAAGCCAGCCCGTAATGCTATGCATATAAGTGGCTTTGGCATGCTGCTCTTACCTGTATTTTTTGTACCTTGGTAATGTCAAATTAATAAATAAATAAGTAAATAAAATGTTCACTGGGTCGGGGTGGCCCTTAACACCCCAACAAAAATGTTCACTGGGTCGGGGTGGCCATTAACACCCCAACAAAAATGTTCACTGGGTCGGGGTGGCCCTTAACACCCAACAAAAATGTTCACTGGGTCAGGGTGGCCCTTAACACCCAACAAAAATGTTCACTGGGTCGGGGTGGCCCTTAACACCCAACAAAAATGTTCACTGGGTCGGGGTGGCCCTTAACACCCAACAAAAATGTTCACTGGGTCGGGGTGGCCCTTAACACCCAACAAAAATGTTCACTGGGTCGGGGTGGCCCTTAACACCCAACAAAAATGTTCACTGGGTTGGGGTGGCCCTTAACACCCAACAAAAACATTCACTGGGTCGGGGTGGCCCTTAACACCCCAACAAAAATGTTCACTGGGTCGGGGTGGCCCTTAACATCCAACAAAAATGTTCACTGGGTCGGGGTGGCCCTTAACACCCAACAAAAATGTTCACTGGGTCGGGGTGGCCCTTAACACCCAACAAAAATGTTCACTGGGTTGGGGTGGCCCTTAACACCCAACAAAAATGTTCACTGGGTTGGGGTGGCCCTTAACACCCAACAAAAATATTCACTGGGTCGGGGTGGCCCTTAACACCCCAACAAAAATATTCACTGGGTCGGGGTGGCCCTTAACACCCAACAAAAATATTCACTGGGTTGGGGTGGCCCTTAACACCCAACAAAAATATTCACTGGGTCGGGGTGGCCCTTAACACCCAACAAAAATGTTCACTGGGTCGGGGTGGCCCTTAACACCCAACAAAAATATTCACTGGGTCGGGGTGGCCCTTAACACCCAACAAAAATGTTCACTGGGTTGGGGTGGCCCTTAACACCCAACAAAAATATTCACTGGGTCGGGGTGGCCCTTAACACCCCAACAAAAATATTCACTGGGTCGGGGTGGCCCTTAACACCCAACAAAAATATTCACTGGGTCGGGGTGGCCCTTAACACCCAACAAAAATATTCACTGGGTCGGGGTGGCCCTTAACACCCAACAAAAATGTTCACTGGGTCGGGGTGGCCCTTAACACCCAACAAAAATATTCACTGGGTCGGGGTGGCCCTTAACACCCCAACAAAAATATTCACTGGGTCGGGGTGGCCCTTAACACCCAACAAAAATATTCACTGGGTCGGGGTGGCCCTTAACACCCAACAAAAATGTTCACTGGGTCGGGGTGGCCCTTAACACCCAACAAAAATATTCACTGGGTCGGGGTGGCCCTTAACACCCAACAAAAATATTCACTGGGTCGGGGTGGCCCTTAACACCCAACAAAAATATTCACTGGGTCGGGGTGGCCCTTAACACCCAACAAAAATATTCACTGGGTCGGGGTGGCCCTTAACACCCAACAAAAATATTCACTGGGTCGGGGTGGCCCTTAACACCCCAACAAAAATATTCACTGGGTCGGGGTGGCCCTTAACACCCAACAAAAATATTCACTGGGTCGGGGTGGCCCTTAACACCCCAACAAAAATAAACTTGGAAAGGAACGTGTCTAGCACGGATCAGACCACCATCATTCTTCCTCCATATTACACCATCATCTTGATCCCCAGACCAGCACAAGATGAACCAAAAGTAATAATAATACTTTATTTACGTGTAATATTTCTTACAGGTGGTTGATATAGCTTCAAGAAGGATAAAAATGTGTATTAGTGGGGCTGGAAGGTGGACAGGTGACCCGTATATTGGAGAGGCAAATTTTTGACGATGTTTCTCTCAAATTTCCCCTCAAGGAAGGTTCCTTGATGTTGGTGAGGGGCTCTTGATTTAGGGAATTGGATCTGTGCTCCAGTTCCCCGAATTAAGCCTGAATGCCTTACACATCCCCCCCCCCCAGGCGCTGTATAATCCTCCGGGTTTAGCGCTTCCCCCTTGATTATAATAATAATAATTCTCTCAAATTTGCGTTAGTTAATTATACAAATTGGACCCGAACATCATCCTAGGTCTGTTAATAGGTTAATATAATTTACTTTCCTATGGCTTACAGATTATGTACCCCATACCCATCCTGTGGGCGGTAATTAAAAGATTACAGAGGTACATGATGGGTCCAGGGACTGTACCTCAACATTACAGAGGTACATGATGGGTCCAGGGACTGTACCTCAACATTACAGAGGTACATGATGGGTCCAGGGACTGTACCTCAACATTAGAGGTACATAATGGGTCCAGGAACTGTACCTCAACATTACAGAGGTACATAATGGGTCCAGGGACTGTACCTCAACATTACAGAGGTACATGATGGGTCCAGGGACTAGATGCCAAAGTTTTGATAGCTGAACAAGTTAATATAGCTTATTTTTAATGGCTTACATTGCATTAATAACCCTTGTGGTTTAGCGCTTCTTTTTTATAATAATAATAATAATAATAATAATACATAGCAGTAAGTAGGTGCCGGGTGCTAGTTGACTGTTGTGGGTTGCATCCTGGGGGAGGGGGGATATTATACCCTAGATAGGGCTGGGCTCTGAAAAGAGCCGAGTTAGTACCCCTGTGGCACAGTTAGTGCCCCTGTGGCACAGTTAGTGCCCCTGTGGCCCAGTTAGCACCCCTGTGGCACAATTAGTACCCCTGTGGCCCAGTTAGTACCCCTGTGGCCCAGTTAGTACCCCTGTGGCACAGTTAGTACCCCTGTGACCCAGTTAGTACCCCTGTGGCCCAGTTAGTACTGTGGCCCAATTAGTACCCCTGTGACCCAATTAGTGCCCCTGTGGCCCAGTTAGCACCCCTGTGGCCCAGTTAGTACCCCTGTGGCCCAATTAGTACCCCTGTGGCCCAGTTACTACTACTGTGACCCAATTTATACCCCTGTGGCCCAGTTAGTACCCCTGTGGCCCAATAGTACCCCTGTGGCTGTACCACAGAAGTAAGGCTATGAGGAGAGCTAATTCCAACAATATGATTAAAATAGGTGCCAATGTGCGGGAAGTAGAAGTCCCTAGGATATATTTTTGTTATGTACATCAAGTTACTTTGATTACAATACAAGTAATATGGGACAAAATATGTTATTAATTATGTATGGGAGTCGTAGGAAGGTTGGAAAAAGAATGGGCAGAATCGGTTGAAAGCTAACAGAGTATTGTGGTCTATATTAAATTAAGGAGATAGTTTTTTTAACAACAGCTCTGAATTTTGTGGCAGATAGTTGGTATTTCAATGGTTTAGAGGGGAATCCCGACATTATGGCATTGTGTTAGGTCTGTGTCTTCTGTTGCAACTATCAAGGAATAGTTTCAGAGAAGGATTTATATTGGAAATTATTTTCCTATATATATATATATATATATATATATATATATATATATATATATATATATATATATATATATATATATATATATATAGTAGGCACAGTAGTATGAATGCATATTGTGTATATTAATTAATTTAAAGCTTTTGAAGAGCGGAGGAGTATGTTGTCTGGCACTGGATTGGGTAGTCAATCGCACAGCTGCTTTTGTCGAGTCATTGGCTTTAGGTGATTTGCTGTAAGTACATAGTGCTGTTTGAGGTACACAATAATGTATCTTGGAGAGGATGCCTACTGTTTTGAAGACCTCCCTAGTTTTGTGCTGGATGTGGGTGACAGCCTGGTTGATCAGGCCCTGATCCACCATGACGCCTGGTCACAGACTGGGCCGCGGGGGCATTGACTCTCAGAACTCTCTCCAGGTAAACTCCAGGTAATTAACCTTCAAGTTGCAGTCAAGGAGCAAACCTAAGAATTTACCCTCAGTGTCTTACAATGGGAGAACCATTGATCGTTATGTTTAGTTGGATATTTGTAGCTCTGTATCCAGACATCATATAGAAAGTTTTTGTCAGTGTTAAGAGTGAGTTTATTGGTAGTCATTTTTAGGAGTTCAATGTTAACAGTGTCATTGAGAGAAGTTGGATTTGAGTAGATGAGAAATGTATCATCTGTGAACATAACAGGTTCAAGCAGATAAGCTGCATCTGGGAGATCATTGATGTATATAAGTTAGAGCAAAGGGCCAAGAACACTGGCCTGAGGCACTCCTATGTTGACACGCCAAGTTGACGAGGTTATACCATTGATGGAGACATATTGGCAGATATTACTGAGAAAAGTATGGAAGAGTATGACTGTTGATACTATAATGTTCTAGTCTGAGATGCAGGATGTTGTGGTCCACTGTATCAAATTCAATTCAATTCAATTCAAGTTTATTCTCTATAAGGGTTACAATGTGGGGTTTACAGGTTTTGGGTATTGTGTGGTTTACATGTTATAAAATACTAATTACAGAGGGGGGCCACTAGGACACCTAGCATGGCTAGGCATTTCGAGCAGACTTAGATTAATTCTTAACATTTAATCCTTACAGATTATGGTATTAAGGCTAAGTGACTACATCATAATTTGTGAGTTTAGCAATGTGAATGTATTGTGCCAAAACAAAAGCAAAGTGTCTATATTGGAGTATCATAGGCAAACTTATGACTAGTTAGGATTTATTATTTTAAGATTAAGATTAGTATTTCTGGGTTTATAGTCAGTGGGTGAGTGAGTGTAATTGTGAACCACCAGGTGGTTATCATGTAGTTAGTTGTCGGGGTGGATCAGGGAGATGAGATGTTTTCTAACTGTAGTTTTGAAGGTGATGAATGTGTCTGCAGTTCTAGAGTTCTCAGGTAGGGTGTTCCAGATTTTAGGTCCTTTGAAATACATTGAATTTTTGTAAAGGTTTAGTCGAACACGGGGAATGTCATAGAGATGTTTGTGTCTGGTGTTATGCCTGTGGATCCTGTCACAACTATCAAGAAAGCATTTTAGGTCAAGGTTAATATTGGAATTTAAGGTCCTGTAGATATAGATTGCACAGTAGTAAGTGTGGATGTTCTGAACAGGGAGTAAGTTTAGATCTATGAAGAGTGGGGGGGGGGGTGTTGCCAGGGATGGGATTTAGTGATTATTCTTACTGTGGCTTTTTGTTGGGTTATTATTGGCTTTAGGTGTGTTGCTGCAGTTGAACCCCAAGCACAGATAGCATAGGTGAGGTATGGATATATAAGTGAATGGTATAGTGTGAGAAGGGCAGTTTGTGGCACATAGTATCGTATCTTGGAGAGGATCCCCACTGTTTTGGATACTTTTTTTGTTATGTGTTAGATATGGGTGCTGAAATTTAGGTTGTTGTCGAGGTATAGGCCAAGGAATTTGCCCTCATTATGTCTGGCAATTAGAGTGTTGTCGATCTTAATGTTAAGTTGCGCAACACCTGCTCTGCTACCAAACATAATATAGTAGGTTTTGTCAGTGTTAAGTGTAAGTTTATTGGCTGTCATCCAAGTCGATATTTTGGGCAGCTCCTCATTAACAATGGTGTTGAGGGTGGCAAGATTATGGTGGGAGATGACATAAGTCGTGTCGTCAGCAAAGAGAATGGGTTTCAGGTGCTGGGATATGTTTGGATGATCATTGATGTAAATGAGGAAGAGCAGGGGTCCAAGGACACTTCCCCGCGGAACTCCAGTATCAAGTGGCCGTATTGATGAGGCTGTGTCTTTAATGGTGACATAGTGATACCTATTAGAAGGGTAGGATTTAAAATATGCAAGCGCATGGCCTCTTATACTATAGTGGTCAAGTTTGTGCAGTAGGATGCCATGGTCTACTGTGTCAAACGCTTTTCTTAGGTCAATAAAAATTCCTAGCGGATATTCCTTATTTTCCAATGCTGTGTAAAGCAGGTCTAGCATTTTTATAATTGCATCATTAGTGCTTTTATTTTTCCTGAATCCAAATTGGCAGGGGTTGTGTATGTTTTGTGACGTTATAAATGAATATAGTCTCCTGTGCACGAGTTTCTCAAAGATTTTGGATAGCAATGGTAAGTTTGATATTGGCTATAGTTGTTTACTTCTGTAGGGTCACCACCTTTATGTATTGCTGTCTTGAGTAGTGTCGGGAAAGTGCTAGTTTCTAGTAACTTGTTAAAAAGTAATGTAATAGCATGCGAAAGGACATGGGCCGCTCGCTTGTACAATAATGGTGGGACGTGAGACAGATTCCCCGAGTTATTTTTAAGTGACTTTATGATCACGGTGACTTCCATGGGCTCAGTTGGTACAAGATAGAAGGAATTTGGGATATTCCCATCTAGGTAGTCCCCGGCACGGGCATTGGTACGTGGGATTTTACCGGCGAGATTAGATCCTATGTTTGAGAAGAAGTCGTTTATCTTGTTAGCTGTATCAGTGGGATGCAGTGGTGTTTCATGAGGTTTAGTTAAAACAATATTCTTGTTTTTTTTCAGTTTGTGGGTCCCCAGAATCTGGGAAAGTGTTTTCCAGGTCTTTTTTTATATCTCCTCTTGTGTAAGTGAATCTGCCGGAGTAGTACAGTTGTTTGGCTTTCTTTATTACTTTGGTGAGAACTGATGAATATTGTTTAAGAATATCTTTGTGTATTAAGCCCTGTCTGTATTGCTCTTCATATTGGTGTTTCTTATCAATGGATTTCAGAATGCTGCTGGTTAGCCATGGGCAACCGAGCCGTTTATTCGTGATCGGTTTCGTTTTTATAGGGCTATGTTTGTTGTATAGTCTAAGTATTTTGTTAAGAAAAATGTCTGTCCAATCGTCAATACCATTGGCCTTGGAGAATTTTGTAGGCCAGTCAACAGTCTCTAGGTCTGCTGTGAAATTCCTTATTGAGGCCTCGTCATGGAGTCTAAATGAAACTTTGTTGTATTCGATTGGTGGCTTACTAATGTTTGTTAAGAGGAAGGTTGGGTAGTGGTCAGTAGTGCTGTCTGTGATTATCCCTGATTTAAGGGGGGCTAGTATACTGGTCCATATGTGGTCTATTATGGTTGCACTTGTCTCAGTCAGCCTGGTTGGTTTAGTTATTGTTGGTATGAGAAGTGTGTTGTTCATATTGTTGATGAAATCAGTTACAGTCTGAACATCTGGTAGGCTTTCCACAAGTCTCAGAATAGGCTTATAGGATATTCATTATTTTTGGGAACTGCATGAAACACTTCAAGCATTTTTATAATTGCATAATTTGTACAGTACTTTTTTTTTTTTTGACCTAAAACCAAACTGGCAGGGGTTGAATATATTACGAGACACTGTGAAGGGGTTAACTCACTTATGAATTATCTTTTTGAAAATTTTAGATAGCAGTGGCAAGTTTGATATTGGCCTATAATTATTTACCTCGGTTGGATCACCTCTTTTGTGTATCGGGGTAACTCTTGCTATCTTAAGAGTCATTGGAAAAGTTCCAGCCTCTAATGGTTTGTTGAACAACATTACAGTAGTGGGTGGCAGCACGAGCTTCTGTTTTGGACTTTAGTTGCGACTCCAGTAGGATTACTCGCAGATACATAGAACATATGAAGGTGGGATTTTGCTAGCTAGTCTAAATACTAGTATGTTTGCAGTTTCTGCAGGCAGGATATGAGATTCATCTGGTTTAGTTGGGACTATATCTCTGGTTTTTGTTAGATTTCAAGAGCCCAACATTTTATAAAGGATTTTCCAGGCCTTTTTTGTATTTTCATTTATAATAATAATATCTATTTCTACAAGTACATGTAGAAGGTATACAGACCATAGCTGACATCAGTGACATAATACTGTATAGAAAGCTGCTTGTTATGCAAAGCATTTTGGGCAAATTAGGTCAGTTTTGTCCCAGGATGCGACCCACACCAGTCCACTAACACCCATTTTACTGTTGGGGAACATAGACAACCAGTGTAAGGAAACATGTCCAATGCTTCTACCCTCGCTGGGAATCAAACCTGGACCCTCACCATGTGAAACGAGAGTTTTAGCCACCAGGCCATGGGGCCTGATGGCTCCACCTGATATAACTTTTGTGCTGCTCCCTAGTCTATGATATGCGAGTGTATTATTATTATTACAATCAAAACCAAGCGCTAAACCTACAAGAATCATACAGTTCTGCATGTGTGAGTGTAGATTGCAGTGAATAATGTATACATTGCTAATTCTGTCCATCTTCCTTGCATATTTGTGTCCCTGCTGGTGAGTCTGAAGGTCATACCCTATCTGACTGATGTACAGTATATCTGACTACATCCTCTGCGCAGGATGCTGTAAAATCCTGCCACAGTAGTGCTCTTTGGTTTGTGATTTGTAAATGGTCCTAGTCGGACTGACCTATGTGTCCGACCCACCTATGTGTCTGACCCACCTATATGTGGGTTAACTGTGTATTGGTCCAGTCACGGTATTGTACCTTTTTATTCTTTGTGAGATGTGATGTCTATGATAGTTTTGTTGGTTATGACAACAATGTACAATGTCCATGTTGGCTCTGTGGAAAATGGGGTTAATAATCATGGGAACCTGTCTTGTAGGGAGAACGATGATAAAAAGTACAAATATAACAAGTGTGAAGGTAAATATATTTCTAAATCACTGTAGTAGGCTATAAATTAGGTAAAATACAAGTCACTAAATTTTCATTTTCATTTCAGCAAATTGGCACTTCTGCAGTGGCAGGATGCAGTGCAAGAGGAGGGCCAGCGTGTCATGTACCAGGTGACAACCAGGCTGTACCAGGGTAAGAACCTCAGACCTGATTACTACTGGGTAGAGAACATCAACAGCAACCAGGCCTATAAGAAGTATTTTAACAACGACCAGCGACAGATCCTGGAGTCATTCCACGACTCTCAAAATTATGACATAGAGATAGCTGCCAGAGAATTTGACATAAGCTTACATTGGGCTGTTCAACAAAAGTTTTGCAAGCTAAATCGTCTAGAGGTACTTTATGGGTATCTAGAACGTCTTGTAAACATGAGGAATACCAATTCTCATCGTTCTGATCATTCTGGCATTCCTACAAGTGATTTAAAAGAACAACTTGAAGAATTACTCAAATTATGTCTTGATATCCTGAGTAACCTGGAGGACAGAACTAGTGATGATCTCTCAAGTGTCAAAAGAGACATTAGAAACAGCATTAATAAAAGGTTACTAATGTTGCCTAAAAGCACACCTGCACAGAGGCTGGATGATGGTGCCGAATGGATGCACCGCAGTGTGCAGAGGGTGGATAATAGTGATGGATGGATGCACCGCAGTGTGCAGAGGGTGGATAATACTGATGGATGGCTGCACCACAGGGCTGACACAGCAAGAACCCACCATTCAACCACTATGTCTCAGAGGGTTGCAGACGAGGAGGATGATGGTCTTGGAACCCTTGGCAAGGTAGCTGTTGGGGTGGGGGTGGCAGGGGTGGGGATAGTTGCACTGGGAGCTCTGGCCGACTATTTGTCCGAAAAAAACAAAAATGGTAAACAATCCAATAGAAATAGTACCTCTACATCGAATAAGAATGACGACTGCAGCATAATGTAATCGCATGCAAAATTATAAACAAAAGTCCCTGTTATCCACATCAGTCAATGTAGCAGAGGACATAACACAGAATACATTCAGACTGATTTTTTAACATTACAGCCTCTCCTCACTTAGTGACGTACTCACTTACCAGCGACTTGGACTTACGACGGGCTCTCTGACCAGTATGCGTACCTAAATAATGTATATTAGAGCTGATTTCCTCTATTCTGTTTATTACAATATACAATACACTACTGTATAAACATTTAAAAATATACCAGAAATGTTATAAATTGTGCAAAGGTGACATTAAAACAATATCAAAGATGGTTGACACAAACTCACTACCATTACAGTTTGCTCCTCACTTAGTGACGAATTTGTTTAACAACGTGGTCTCAGGAACGGAACTCTGTCATTAAGTGAGGAGAGGCTGTATACCTGAAATGTTATAAATTGTGCAAAGGTGACATTAAAACAATATCAAAGATGGTTGACACAAACTCACTACCATTATAGTATGCTCCTCACTTAGTGACGAATTCGTATACTGATGTGGTCTTATGACCGGAACTCCGTCTTTAAGTGAGGAGAGGCTGTATTATAGTCCCTAGGACTCCTTATGTTTGACATCAACACATGAGAATCAAATAGGTACTTATTAGATAACCAGTGTGACCATGATATACTTAAATATTTTGACTATTTCAGTGCAACTAAATTTTGTACAGAAAATCTATGATCGTTCCAAAATGTGGAACAAGCTATCAGATAAAACATGAAGTGGTATATTGTTTGAGAACCACTGTGATTGTACTGCCTTTTGATGTATTAAATAAAGGAAATAATGGAAGAAATTAGAGGAAAGTATGCGAAGTGTAAACACAACTTTTTCTTAAAAATAAAATAATTTCTTTCACTCATAATTATAAGTGCTTTTGTGAAAATTAAATCACCCTTTTCATTGAAATATTCATAAATACACCTACCATCCGACTTACGACCGAGTTCGGTTCCGAGAAACCGGTTGTAAGTCGAAATGGTCGTAAGTCGAACTTTACTACTGAATATCAACAAAACATTTTTGTAATGACTATTTTATTGTTTTATTTTGGTATTTTATGTTTTACTTTACTTTTTATGCTGTTAGTACTGTATTTTATACTGTAAGGTTTAGGATAAACACTGTGTACAACACAAATAGTTGTTTATTTCCCAGAAAATTGGCATAAAAAACACGGTCGTAAGTCGAGTGGTTGTAAGTCGAGCAGGTCGTAAGTCAGATGGTAGGTGTATACGGTGTTGATATGTTGCACTTTTTAACTTTAGCATAGGCACGCCTCTGGCAAGTGCATAATGGAGTGCTTGGTGACGGAAGTGTTTCTTTTTTTTTTCGGGTCACCCTGGCTTGGGGGGGAGATGGCCCATGTGTTGATATGTTACACTTTTTAACTTTTGCATAGGCACGCCTCTGGCAAGTGCATAATGGAATGCTTGATGACGGAAGTGTCTCTCTTTTTTTCGGGTCACCCTGCCTTTGTGGGAGACGGCCCATGTGTTAAAAAAAAAAAAAGGCAAAAAATTGGCTTTATATTGAAGTATGAACTAAACTTTAACAAGAGTGAGAGTCCATAAATTGTACTTTGACTGTTTAGCATTTTGTAACTGGTATATAATAATTAGTACTGCTGCACTTTTTATGCTTGATGTAGTTTAGGTTCATGCGACCTCGTCTTTGTATGATTTACTAATGTGTTATCATAGTTCTGTATTTGTAGCATATTAAAATATTTTTAAGTTCTTGTTTTCCATATTCATCATTGCCAAACTGCCATTTTAAGTTTTCCGTTATGTGTGTCAGTAAAAAGAATGTTATCTACTACTGGATGGTGAAACATCTGCAAATTAAAGATACGTAGATGTTGCACATGTGTCTAATTCTTCATCTTGTCTGTATTGTAATACCATTCATATACAGGCAGGCCCCACTTATACAGCAGGTTAGATTACAGGCTACTGTAGGGCCCCACCTACACAGAAGGTTAGATTACAGGCTACTGTAGGGCCCCACCTACACAGAAGGTTAGATTACAGGCTACTGTAGGGCCCCACTTATACAGCAGGTTAGATTACAGGCTACTGTAGGGCCCCACCTACACAGAAGGTTAGATTACAGGTTACTGTAGGGCTCTACTTATACATACAGCAGGTTAGATTACAGGCTACTGTTGGGCCCCACCTACACAGAAGGTTAGATTACAGGCTACTGTAGGGCCCCACTTATACAGCAGGTTAGATTACAGGCTACTGTAGGGCCCTGCTTATACAGCAGGTTAGGGTCCAGGCTAATGTAGGGCCCTGCTTATACAGCAGGTTAGGGTCCAGGCTAATGTAGGGCCCTGCTTATACAGCAGGTTTCATTCCAGGCTAATGTAGGGCCCCGCCTATACAGCAGGTTAGGTTCCAGGCTACTGTTGAAAGAGAAAATTGCTGTAAAGTAAAACAGCCTCCATTTTTACTTGGAAATGCATATAAAAGCCTGATAACATGGTTACAATATCATAAATTAAGTGAGCAATAGAGCTAGACCTAAAAAATGCATGTAAAGTACAGGAGGGCCCTGCTTATACAGCAGGTTAGGTTCTGGGCTACTGCTGTAAAGCAGAAATTGCTGTAAAGTGAAACATAATTTTTTTTTTACTTTCAAATGCATATAAAAGCCTGATAACATGTTTACACTGTCATATATTAGGTAAGCAATAGTTAGGTCTAAAAAATGCATATACAGCACACACATTACTTACCTTAAAATATTTTCGTCCTTAGCGTCTAGCGAGTGGTAAATATACAGTGGACCCCCGGTTAACGATATTTTTTCACTCCAGAAGTATGTTCAGGTGCCAGTACTGACCGAATTTGTTCCCATAAGAAATATTGTGAAGTAGATTAGTCCATTTCAGACCCTCAAACATACACGTACAAACGCACTTACTTAAATACACTTACATAATTGGTCGCATTCGGAGGTAATCGTTATGCGGGGGTCCACTGTACTTATTGTAGGAAGTCTGAATAAATGAAGAATGGGTACACTAATTGGAAACCTCTGCATTAGCAAAATGCTGTAAAGTGAAGGCTGTAAAGGACGGCCTGCCTGTACATTGAGTTAGCATGTTGAGAAAAATTTGGATTCCAACACTATCCCCTAAGGTGGCTGATTACGTTATGCTGTATTTCCTGAGTTAGAATTTAGAATTTTTGGACACGGTGTTTTCTATCTGTTATATTATTTGTTCATAAGCTTGATTGGGTGATGGGTGTATGTATTGGCTTTGATTAGTGGGTGTGTTTTTAATAGTTACTGGTGATGGAACATGTTTACATGGAGGGGATTTATGGGGTCAACACCCCTGCAGCTTGGTCTGAGACCAGGCCTCATGGTGGATCAGGGTCTGATCAACCAGGCTGTTACTGCTGGCCGCACGCAAACTGACGTATGAACCACAGCCTTCTTGAAGACAGCCAGAGGTCTGTTGGTAAACCCCCTTATGTATGCTGAGAAGCAGTTGAACAGTCTTGGGCCCCGGACACTCATTGTGTTGTCTCTCGGTGTAATCGTGGTGCCCATGCTTTTTATTGGGGGAATGTTGCATCTCCTGCTGAGTCTTATGCTTTCATAGGGTGTGATTTTCATGTGCAAGTTTGGTACTAATCCCACTTAGGATTTTCAAAGTGTATATTATCATGTATCTCTCTCGCCTGTGTTCCAGGGAATAAAAATCAAGAGTCTTCAACTGTTTCCAGTTATTCATTAGGGATTTGCTGGTACTTCCGGCCCGGGTCTTCTCCAGATGGCGACCCGGCGAACTGTTTCCAGTAATTTAGGTGTCTTATCGTATTTTATGTGTGCCATGAAAGTTCATTGTACACTCTCCAGGTCGTCAATTTTGCCTGCCTTGAAGGGGGGCCGTTAGTATACAGCAGTATTCCAGCCTAGAGAGAACAAGTGATTTGAAGAGAATCATCATGGGCTTGACATCCCTAGTTTTGAAGGTTCTCATCCATCCTTTCATTTTCTTAGCAGATGCGGTAGATACATTGTTGTGGTCTTTGGAGGCGAGATCCTCTGACATTATCACTCCCAGGTCCTTCACATTACTTTTTCGCTCTATTGTATGGTTATAATTTGTCGTAAACCCTGATGCAGTTATAATTTCCTCAAGTTTTCCATAGACAAGTTGAAATTACTCTTCATTGAACTTAATGTTGTTTTGAGTGTCCCATTTGAAGATTTGGTTGATGTCCACTTGGAGTCTTGCGGTGTCTTCAGTGGAGGTCACTGTCGTGGTTAGGGAAAACCTTTTTCTAGATATATATCTGGGTGGATGGTTCATTGAGGTATCTGTGGAGACGAAGAATGTTATCTGTGGAGGCAAAGAAGGAAATGTATGAGAGTATGGTGGGTGTGAAGCATGGGTTGTGAATGTTGCAGCGAGGAGGCTGGAGGCAGTGGAAATATCGTGTCTAAGGGCAATGTGTGACAAAAATACTATGCAGAGAATTTGTAGTTTGGAGATTAGGAAGAGATGCAGAGTTACTAAAAGTATTATCCAGAGGGATGAGAAGGGATTGTTGAGGTGGTTTGGTTATTTAGAGAGGATGGAGCAAAATAGGATGATGTGGAGGGTGTATAAATCTGTAGTGGAGTGAAGACATGGTAGGGGTTGTCCTAAGAAAGGTAGTAGGGAGGGAGTAAAGGAGGTTTTGTGTGCAAGGGGCTTGCACAAATAGCAGGCATGTGAATGTGTGTGTTAGGAGTGGAGACAAATGGTTTTAGGGATTTGACAAGCTGTTGGGGTGTGAGCAGGGTAATATTTTGTTTAGGAATGAAGGGAAACCGGTTAGTGGAACTTGAGTTCTGGAGGTGGGAAGTATAATACCTGCACTCTAAAGGAGGAGTTGGGGATATTTATTGTTTAGAGGGACATCTAAACTGTCATATCTGCACACCTCTGGCAAGACAGTGATAGTGTAAACAATGGTGAAAATGTTAATTTTTTCGGGTCACCCTGCCTTGGTGGGAGACAGCCAGCATGTTAAAAAAAAAAAAACTGGGAAGTACAGTGCCTGCACTCTGAAGGTGTGGGGATATTTACAGTTTTGAAATGTACTATCAGGGTCCCTCTGGCAAGGCAATGATAGAGTGAGTGATGGTGAAAGTGTTTCTTCTTTTTTGGGTCACCCTGTCTAGGTGGGAGACAGCTGGTATGTTTAAAAAAAAAAAAATTGGGCCACGGCCCTAAAGGTACAGGTACACATAAGTGCAGTTATACAAATTTACAATTATCATACGTAGTAACGTGTATAAATTACCCACCAAGATAACCTAAAAAAGTAAGTGACTTATTTCCACTGGGAAGCCTGGTATCACTGTGTTATCTGTGTGCACATTTTGAGACCTGCATGTAGGCTTGCAATTGCTCTGAACATAGTTGGAACTTGTCCAACATGGCCTTATATTGTAGCTTTCTATTTGTTCTACATAATTTAGGTGTTTTTGGTAATGTAAGATGCTTATTTTATCTTAAACTGCTCTTTATATTGTTTAGCCAGACTTGAGTCCTGGAGGTGGGAATGTCCTAAATATTATATTAAGTATACCCTGTGTTGTGTATAACATATATCTAATATTGTATAGAATCGGCCCAGTGCCTGACAGAATTATTGTCTATCTTTGTAATTACCTGTATGTTGGGGACACCATACGTTTGCATTACCGAGCTGTTGACATGTTTCAAACCGCTAGCCGTGATGCCACGGACCTCAAATACTGTCAGGTCAGCCGAGTTTGAACTGCTATGATGCCTTGCTGTGAGGGTGCAGGCAGTCAGACACGTACCCTCAGGCAGTCAGGGCATCAGACTGCAGGCTGGGCTTCCTACTTATACTACCAATATATCCAATATAAGCATCTCTGAGTTATCATTCACCATCACTCGACTTAAGAATCCTTCATGACAGGAAGTACAGTGCCTGCACTCTGAAGGACGGGTGGGGATATTTGCAGTTTTGAACTGTAGTATCGGCACACTTCTGATAAAACAGTGATGGAGCGAATGATGGTAAAAGTGTTTCTTCTCTTTTGGGTCACCCTACCTTTTGCTTAGTTATATCAGCATTAATTATAGTAGCTTCTGCAGTAATAAAACTTTAAACGGAGAACTACAAAGTATGTAATTGGAAGTCACTTACAAACACAGCTATAGATTATCTAACTATGGATATTGAAGATAGAAATGATTGGGATAAGCTAGACACAATAACAAACATGCCAGAATTGCCGTCAATGCCTACAAGCTTATTTGAAGATGTATACTTACATAAAATGATGTGTGTTTAGAAGAAGCAAGGTTAGCATTGCTTACCTTATAAAAAACTCATTCCATTAAAAATTATAATCTCTTTGTTTAGTTAATATATTTAATTACATATACAGTGGACCTCCGGTTGACGATCATCTCCCAATACGACCAATTATGTAAGTGTATTTATGTAAGTGCGTTTGTATGTGTATGTTTGGGGGGTCTGAAATGGACTAATCTAATTCACAATATTCCTTATGGGAACAAATTCAGTCAGTACTGGCACCTGAACATACTTCTGGAATGAAATAATATCGTAAACCAGGGGTCCACTGTACTAAGGTGGTACCTTGAATTTCAGCCAAAATTCGTTCCAGAAGACTGAGTGCTGATACCAAATGAATTTGTTCCCATAAGGAATAATGTAAATTAGATTAGTCCATTTCAGACCCCCAAAAGTACACTTACCAAAGCACTTACAAAAATATACTTACATAATTATTTGAGTTGGGAGCTGTTCGAAATTCGAGGTACCACTGCATCTTTTGCTATGTTTAATCAAATTTAAATCTGGTGTAATAGGAGTCTGCACTATTAAGATTTCTTAGACAGGAACATTGTCACTTATTTGTCTGTTCCTGGATTAAGCAATGTTGAAATTGCAGTGTCATTTTCCACTCTCTTGCTGGTTTGAATATGCAACGACGAGATACAGACTAAAAACTATTAACCCTTAAACTGTCCAAACATAGATCTACGTTTGGAGTGCTACACGAGTGAACGTAGATCTACTTTTTTTTTTTACGTGCTTTCAAATGGGGAAAATCAAGGTCAGAATGTTACGCGCGTAAACGTAGATCTGTATTTGGACAGTTTAAGTGTTAATTTATAGAACTTTAATCAAATTTTTCCAGAATTCATGTTAATAGGATTTAGATCAATCTAATTTGGAATGAAAGGGTGTCCCGTAGCTCGGTCACTAGCACCATGTAATTGGCTTAAAATAGGATTCAAAGTGGGTGAAATTACAGATGTGTAAATTGATATTAAAATTGTTGTCTTAATATCTCCAGTTGCTGTATAACTTTTGCTGGTTTAATTCCTTTTAAATATAATAATGCATTAATACATATACAGGTCCACATCCCTTTATCCGAAACCCTTGGGGCCAGTAGTGTTTCAAATTTCAGAATTTTTTGAATTTCAGAAAGAAGGTGGGGTCTAGGGTAGTGCCCCATAATCAAACCTTAACACTGCAGCAAAAATGTATGAATACTCACACTAAGTGGGATAAATAAAGACTACAAATACTACTATGGAATGCACAACAGGTGCATTACTGTCAATGTTCAGCATTTCTTCAATGTCAGCTTCCTGTAACTTATTTACACTTTCGTTTGATAAACTTTTAGCGTAAGTTACAAGGTTTCACATCATCATCTCATCAGTGATACGAAATCCTTCCAAGTCTTCATCTGTAGGTTCAGTTACATCAAACATCGTTTTAGGCCAAAGTCTGTGCCAAGCATTTGTTAATGTTGATTTATCAACATCCTTTCAAGCATTAACAACTGCATAAAGGGCACCCTTAACACTGAACTCTTTCAGGAAGTCTTGGATTCCAACTCCTCTGTTGACTACAGCAAGTATACAGTTTAAAAAATAGTCTTTATACTTGCTCTTCATGGAGCATAAAATTCCTTGGTCACAAGGCTGTGATACAGGTGACTGATGCTCCACACTCCACGAAAAAATTTTGGTTTTCAGAACTTCTCGAATTTTAGAATTTTGGATAGAGATGTGGACTTGTATATACGTATACAGAAAAATCCCACAAGCACTGATATTGTGATATCAATGCTCATGGGATTTTTCTAATGCTATAATATTCATCCTTCTGGCTGTGGGCACTGTTGTGCCTGGGGGCACTTCCTGTATCCTCCTCTCTCCCTCCCTCACTCACTCCAGTGAAGATGGTCCTTTGGGGACGTACTTGCTTGGACATCCTCCTCTTTTCTGCAATTCTGCAAGCTCCTGATGTGTTGATTGCAACACGAAAGGCCTAGAGCCATCATTCTACTCCCCTCATGGTTATTTTGTACATATATACTGTATTATGTATGTACATGTATATATATACGGCCTCTCCTCACTTAGCGACGCACTCGTTTACCGACACCTCAGACTTACGATGGGCTCTCTAACCAGTATTCATACTTACATAATGTATATTAGATCTGATTTCCTTTATTCTGTTTATTTCAATATACAATACACTACTGTATAAACATTTAAAAATATACCAGAAATGTTATAGATAGTGCAAAGGTGACATTAAAACAATATCAAAGATGGTGGACACAAACTCACTACCGTCATAGTATGCTCTTTACTTAGCGACAAATTCGTTGAACGACATGGTCTTAGGAACAGAACTCCGTCTTTAAGTGAGGAGAGGCTGTATATACAGCAGGGCCCCGCTTATACAGCAGATTAGGCTTCAGGCTACCATTGCAAAGAGACATTTGCTGAAAAGTGAAACAACCTTTTTCCGCTTTCAGATGCATTTTCACTTCCAGGCATTTATTAGGCCTGAAAAATGCACATACAATACACACATTACTTTAAAATACTTTCATCTTTAGCAATTGAATGGTAAATATATTGTAGGAAGTCTGAATAAATGAAGAACGAGTATAGTTCAAAATCACCGCATCAGCAAAACACCATAAAGTGAAACGCTGTAAAGTGGGGCTCTTCTGTATGTAACTCACATTGGTTGTAAAGTGCCTGGGGAATGAAAGGCAATCGGGTTCGATTCAAAGAAGTGGATTAACCCGTAAACGGTCCAAACGTATATATACGTTTTTTCAGCATTTGAAAGTACAGTGGACCCCGGTTAACGAACTTTTTTCATTCCAGTAGTATGTTCAGGTGCCAGTACTGACCGAATTTTTTCCCATAAGGAATATTGTGAAGTAGATTAGTCCATTTCAGACCCCCAAACATACACGTACAAACGCACTTACATAAATACACTTACATAATTGGTCGCATTTGGAGGTGATCGTTAAGCGGGGGTCCACTGTATGTAAAAAAAGTAGATCTTTTTTTTTTTTTTTGTTATATTTGAAAATATGTAAAAAAAACTTAGATCTACTTTTGTAGCGCTACACATGTGAACGTAGATCTACTTGGACCGTTTACGAGTTAAGATCCCATCACCAGCATCCTTGAAGGGTTAATTCACTAAAATTTTATTGACGAAGGTTTTATCCATAATTGTTTGAACATTTTTAAATTTAGTTTAAGTGAGGTTAGGCGATGTTTCTTATGAATTTTTTTTAGCTAAATTCTGCTATATATATATAATACATACAGGTAAATTTAAATTGGTTTAATATTAATAAAAGTCTAGACATGTTAAGCACATGTATGAAACTTGCCACGAGGGAGGTTCCTTGATACTGGTGAGGAAAGGGCTCTTGATCTAAGTACATACTCTATTTTCCCAAGACTCTATGATCCCTATGGGTTTACAGCTTCCCCATGAATGTAATAATAGTAAGGAAAGTTTTTTACAATGTAACACGCTTCAATGTCAATAAATATTAAAATGTTGAAAATTGTATTATTCTCATCAGGTATTGAAAAAATATGTGTGTGTGTAGTCCCTGGACCCATTGTGTTTACCTGAAGTTTACCTGGAGAGAGTTCCGGGGGTCAACGCCCCCGCGGCCCGGTCTGTGACCAGGCCTCCTGGTGGATCACAGCCTGATTAACCAGGCTGTTGCTGCTGGCTGCACGCAAACCAACGTATGAGCCACAGCCCGGCTGGTCAGGAACCGACTTTAGGTGCTTGTCCAGTGCCAGCTTGAAGACTGCCAGGGGTCTGTTGGTAATCCCCCTTATGTATGCTGGGAGGCAGTTGAACAGTCTCGGGCCCCTGACACTTATTGTATGGTCTCTTAACGTGCTAGTGACACCCCTGCTTTTCATTGGGGGGATGGTGCATCGTCTGCCAAGTCTTTTGCTTTCGTAGTGAGTGATTTTCGTGTGCAAGTTCGGTACTAGTCCCTCTAGGATTTTCCAGGTGTATATAATCATGTATCTCTCCCGCCTGCGTTCCAGGGAATACAGGTTTAGGAACCTCAAGCGCTCCCAGTAATTGAGGTGTTTTATCTCCGTTATGCGCGCCGTGAAGGTTCTCTGTACATTTTCTAGGTCAGCAATTTCACCTGCCTTGAAAGGTGCTGTTAGTGTGCAGCAATATTCCAGCCTAGATAGAACAAGTGACCTGAAGAGTGTCATCATGGGCTTGGCCCCCCTAGTTTTGAAGGTTCTCATTATCCATTCTGTCATTTTTCTAGCAGATGCGATTGATACAATGTTATGGTCCTTGAAGGTGAGATCCTCTGACATGATCACTCCCAGGTCTTTGACGTTGGTGTTTCGCTCTATTTTGTGGCCAGAATTTGTTTTGTACTCTGATGAAGATTTAATTTCCTCGTGTTTATCATATCTGAGTAATTGAAATTTCTCATCGTTGAACTTCATATTGTTTTCTGCAGCCCACTGAAAGATTTGGTTGATGTCTGCCTGGAGCCTTGCAGTGTCTGCAATGGAAGACACTGTCATGCAGATTCGGGTGTCATCTGCAAAGGAAGACACGGTGCTGTGGCTGACATCCTTGTCTATGTCGGATATGAGGATGAGGAACAAGATGGGAGTGAGTACTGTGCCTTGTGGAACAGAGCTTTTCACCGTATCTGCCTCGGACTTTACTCTGTTGACGACTACTCTCTGTGTTCTGTTAGTGAGGAAATTATAGATCCATCGACCGACTTTTCCTGTTATTCCTTTAGCACGCATTTTATGCGCTAATACGCCATGGTCACACTTGTCGAAGGCTTTTGCAAAGTCTGTATATATTACATCTGCATTCTTTTTGTCTTCTAGTACATTTAGGACCTTGTCGTAGTGATCCAATAGTTGAGACAGACAGGAGCGACCTGTTCTAAACCCATGTTGCCCTGGGTTGTGTAACTGATGGGTTTCTAGATGGGTGGTGATCTTGCTTCTTAGGACCCTTTCAAAGATTTTTATGATATGGGATGTTAGTGCTATTGGTCTGTAGTTCTTTGCTGTTGCTTTACTGCCCCCTTTGTGGAGTGGGGCTATGTCTGTTGTTTTTAGTAACTGTGGGACGACCCCCGTGTCCATGCTCCCTCTCCATAGGATGGAAAAGGGTCGTGATAGGGGCTTCTTGCAGTTCTTGATGAACACGGAGTTCCATGAGTCTGGCCCTGGGGCAGAGTGCATGGGCATGTCATTTATCGCCTGTTTGAAGTCATTTGGAGTCAGGATAACATCGGATAGGCTTGTGTTAATCAAATTTTGTGGCTCTCTCATAAAAAATTCATTTTGATCTTCGACTCTCAGTCTGGTTAGCGGCTTGCTAAAAACTGAGTCATATTGGGACTTGAGTAGCTCACTCATTTCCTTGCTGTCATCTGTGTAGGACCCATGTTGTTTAAGTAGGGGCCCAATACTGGACGTTGTTCTCGACTTTGATTTGGCATAGGAGAAGAAATACTTTGGGTTTCTTTCGATTTCATTTATGGCTTTTAGTTCTTCCCGCGATTCCTGACTCCTACAAGATTCCTTTAGCTTAAGTTCGATGCTTGCTATTTCTCTGACCAGTGTCTCCCTACGCATTTCAGATATATTGACCTCTTTTAGCCGCTTTGTTATTCTTTTCCGTCGCCTGTAAAGGGAGCGCCTGTCTCTTTCTATTTTACATCTACTCCTCCTTTTTCTTAGAGGAATAAGCCTTGTGCATACATCGAGTGCCACCAAGTTAATCTGTTCTAGGCATAAGTTGGGGTCTGTGTTGCTTAGTATATCTTCCCAGCTTATATCGGTTAGGACTTGGTTTACTTGGTCCCACTTTATGTTTTTGTTATTGAAGTTGAATTTGGTGACTACTGCCCACAGGATGGGTGTGTGGGGTGACTGACACTCACAGGATGGGTGTGTGGGCTGACTGACACTCACAGGATCGGTGTGTGGGCTGACAGACACCCACAGGATTGGTGTGTGGGGTGACTGACACCCACAGGATGGGTGTGTGGGGTGCCCAACACCCAGAGGATGGGTGTGTGGGGTGCCCAACACCCAGAGGATGGGTGTGTGGGGTGCCCAACACCCAGAGGATGGGTGTGTGGGGTGCCCAACACCCAGAGGATGGGTGTGTGGGGTGCCCGACACCCATAGGATGGGCGTGTGGGGTGCACAACAATTACAGGATGGGTGTTTGGGGTGCCCGACACCCACAGGATGGGTGTGTGGGCTGACTGACACTCACAGGATGGGTGTGTGGGCTGACTGACACTCACAGGATGGGTGTGTGGGATGACTGACACTCACAGGATGGGTGTGTGGGCTGACTGACACTCACAGGATGGGTGTGTGGGCTGACTGACACTCACAGGATGGGTGTGTGGGCTGACAGACACCCACAGGATGGGTGTGTGGGGTGCCCGGCATCCACGGGATGGGTGTGTGGGGTGCCCAACACCCACAGGATGGGTGTGTGGGGTGCCCGACACCCATAGGATGGGCGTGTGGGGTGCCCAACACCCAAAGGATGGGTGTGTGGGGTGCCTGACACCCATAGGATGGGCGTGTGGGGTGCCCAACACCTACAGGATGGGTGTTTGGGGTGCCCGACACCCACAGGATGGGTGTGTGGGGTGCCCGACACCCATAGGATGGGCGTGTGGGGTGCCCAACACCTACAGGATGGATGTTTGAGGTGCCCGACACCCACAGGATGGGTGTGTGGGGTGACCGACACCCACAGGATGGGTGTGTGGGCTGTCTGACACCCACAGGATTATGGAACCATGTAAAGACCCATTAGTAGTATCATCAAAGGTTCCTTGATGCCTGTCAGGGGCTCTTGATCCAAGGAACTGTATTTGTCTTCCCATTACCCCAGATGCTGCACTACCCATATAATGTAGGTTTGCAGCATAATAATTATAATAATAATCTCCAGAAGAGGGTCCACATTCCCCACAGTGTACCTGCCTAAGAACCTGGCTTCTCTCTCAGCATAAATGGAGGGGTTATTTCCCTCAAAGTCTAAATTTACTGATAGTTGATGTGGAATGAATTATGGATACGTATTGTGTAATAATAATAATTTATATTTCTAGCAGTACATGATACAACTTATACAGACCATAGCTGACAACAATGACATACTGTATAGAAAGTTCCTGGTTATGTAGAGCATTTCTGGGAACTTAGGTTAACTTTGTCCCCAGGATGCCACCCACACCAGTCAACTAACACCCAGGTACCTACTTAATGCTAGGTGAACAGTGGCAGGTGTCTTAAGTAAACACACCCCAATGTTTCCACTTGTACCGGGGATCGAACCACGGACCTCAGTGTGCGAGGCAAGTGCGCTACCAACCCAGCTATGGAACAGCTTACAAACATCAAACTATATTTTGTACTAGAGTGCCACAAACTGCTCATATATTAACAAAAATATCAGTGTCACCGGCCGTCCCCCACCGAGGCAGTGTGACCCAAAAAGAGAAAAAACACATTAACCATCACTCACTCCATGACCCTCATTCACATTATTCTATTTTATTATTAAAAATTCTAAATGAGGTTTATGTGAGTTATCACTCCTAGAGTTGTATGACCCCTGTGGGTTTAGTGCTCCCCCCTGATTACAGCAGTAGGAAATAGGGTGGATTGCGCATGGCTGTAATGAGGGTGGTGAGAGGGCACATGGCTAGTTAGGGTGGTGAGAGGGCACATGGCTAGTTAAGGTGGTGAGAGGGCACATGGCTACTTAGGGTGGTGAGAGGGCACATGGCTAGTTAAGGTGGTGAGAGGGCGCATGGCTAGTTAAGGTGATGAGGGCACATGACTAGTTAAGGTGGTGAGAGGGCACATGGCTAGTTAAGGTGGTGAGAGGGTGCATGGCTAGTTAAGGTGATGAGGGCACATGACTAGTTAAGGTGATGAGGGCATATGATTAGTTAAGGTGGTGAGAGGGCACATGGCTAGTTAAGGTGGTGAGAGGGCACATGGCTAGTTAAGGTGGTGAGAGGGCACATGAATAGTTAAGGTGGTGAGAGGGCACATGACTAGTTAAGGTGGTGAGAGGGCACACGACTAGTTAAGGTGGTGAGAGGGCACATGGCTAGTTAGGGTGGTGAGAGGGCACATGGCTAGTTAGGGTGGTGAGAGGGCACATGGCTAGTTAAGGTGAGAGGGCACATGGCTAGTTAAGGTGATGAGAGGGCGCATGGCTAGTTAGGGTGGTGAGAGGGCGCATGGCTAGTTAGGGTGGTGAGAGGGCGCATGGCTAGTTAAGGTGGTGAGAGGGCGCATGGCTAGTTAAGGTGGTGAGGGGTGCATGGTAGTTAAGGTGGGAGAGGGCGCATGGCTAGTTAGGGTGGTAGAGGGCACATGGCTAGTTAAGGTGGTAAGAGGGCGCATGATAGTTAGGGTGGTGAGAGGGCGCATGGTAGTTAGGTGTGAGGGTGCTGCTAGTTAGGGTGGGTGAGGGGGCATGGCTAGTTAGGGTGGTGAG